CTGAAAAACGCAGCGGCAGCTCCCGAAACTGCAAGCCGCCCCAGGGAGCCGGGCTGCTGGGCTGCTTGATGTGGGGCACCCTTCCCAGCTTCTGCCCCCGGGGCCCTCTGCCCCCGAGCGGGAGCTGTGAGCCGGCCAGGCAGTCCAGAGCCCGGCGATCAAAGGCCGGGCCTGCCCTGTGCCTGGGCTGGTTTTGCTTACTCAGGAGGAGCCAGAAAACAGGCCTGGTTTCCCAGCCTCTCCCATCCGTCCTCCGTGCAGAGCTGGGCTTGGGGGCCCCGTGCGCACCCCGGAGGCAGAGGCAAGTGAGGGAGAGAGAGACTGACTACAGCCCAAGGCATTCCATTCCTTGGGAAGGAAGCCGTTGCTCCCCCCCTTACTCAGTTTGTAAACCGTAATGAATTGTAAATGAATAGGCTCCCTTCCGCTTCCCTGGGGGGCATCCTTCTGCCCCAGATGGTGGATATCCGGCTGCGTGTGACCTGTGACGCTTTGCCTGGGGCTTTGGCCCTCAGTTCTAGGTGGGCGCTGGGGGTCTTGGCCTCCTAGAATAAGGAGGCAGACGGCGGGGGGGGGAGCAGGCCGATTGCACGGGTCTCTTTGGAACGGATGCGTGAGTAACTCTGCGGGTGCCCACCGGGTTGCCGCTGTACAGCGTCAGTTGCACTTCAGGTTGTGGGTGAGCCCATCAGGTACGCCAGGGCGGTTGGCATTTCTCCACTGTTCCTCAGAGCCTAGAGGAGAAGCAAATCCTTTGCCAAGGGCGAAATGGCACCCTGCGCCGCGGAGGCCTGCTGGCAGTTCCTTTGAGCGCCTGGGTGCAGAGACAAAAGGGTCTGATACCACGGGGCCGGATCCCTCTGAACTGCCCGGGACTCTTGTGCGCCCCACCAGCATCAAAGGAGCTCAGCTTTTGCAGCATCAGGTGCTTCTTTCCACAGCTGCCAAGCTGCTGTGGGCAAGGTTGCGAGAAGCAGCTTTTGGGGCTTCAGAAAGAGCTGACGGGGCAGAGCAGCTGTGTGGGTGGTGGCAGCAGTCGCGTCTCCTCCCTCCTTCCTGCACTTGGGCGCCTCGCGGAGCCCACAGGCTTGCTTTTGGGGAACCGTCCGGGTGAGAGACTGTTCCCTCAGCAGCCCTTGAGGATTTCCAGGGAAGAAGGGCATTTCAGGCCTCCGGGGTTCGTGTTCTCTGAGGAGACACCGGGAGGACTCACGAGAAGGTGGATAATCGTGCGGGGACCTGCCTCATCGGTGGCTGCATGAGGGAGGGCACCTGTGGGAGGTTGGCAAGGGAAAGGCAGTTGTATGGCACAGCGGGGTGGCAGGGCTGCCTGGAGAATGTCTGTGCCTTTTCCTTTGGGGTTCAGCGGGGCGTGTGGAGAGGGGGGCTTTGACCCAGTCCTCTTTGCTGCACCCAGGGAGGGTCTGGCACTCAGAAGCCCCGAAGGATTTCTAGCAGGACTCTTTCGCGCTCCTGCCCAAAGATGCTTTTGGGATCCCACCTCTGCCCTGCCTGCCAGGGACCCAAGAAATGGGCAGTGGGGCTGCAGAGGGAGGGAAGGGCCTGGGCCTGGTGGGTCAAAGGAAGCTTCGCCCAGGGAAGGCAGCCCTGGGAACCTCACCTTGGGTCCCCTGGGCTGGAGAGCGATGGGCTTGCCGAGAATGGAGACTGAGGAGAGGCAAAACTAGGGCAGGCCGAGCCGGCTCAGCCAGTGGGTTCGCCACCTCCTCCTCCATCTGCCCTCCACACCCTGCAAGGCCGAAAAATCACACACGCTCATCCTGTGAGGCAGGCCAGTTAATAAGCACCTTGAGATGCTGACGCAGCCCCACGCCCTTCTCCCAGCTTCCTTGCCAGGCTATTAAGTTTGGCTGCCATGGAGGCTGGGCTGAGTGCCTGAGCCGCAGACGCGCCGCTGGAGAAAACACCACCGAGCTGCTGCTTCGGGGTGCGCTGTCAGGCTGGTGGTCTCCCGTGGATCCTTCCCTTCGTCGAAACCTGCCAGCCGCTGGGGTGCTGAACTGAGCGGCGGCTTGAGTCGGGTGGTGGCTGGAGTGTGGCAATGGGGCAAAGAGCCTTCTGGGTCTCTGACTGATCATCTCGTTGGCTGGATCACCTGGGGACTCCAGGGCTGCCCCACCCCAACGGCCTTCCCTCCCTCCTCAGCACCCCCTCTGGAGGAAAGATGGTGAAGGAAACAGGGTACTATGACCTGCTGGGCGTCAAGCCCTGCGCAACGATGGAAGAGATCAAGCGGGCATACCGGCGGTTGGCGCTGAGATACCATCCAGACAAGAACCCCAGCGAGGGGGACCGGGTACGTGGCAAGAGGCAGCCCCGTGGAAGGTGGGCACGGCCCTGGGTGGTTCTGCTGGCTTTGGGAATGGTGCTCAGCGTCCCCTCCCTCTTTCTCCGTCCCCAGTTTAAGCAGATCTCGCAGGCGTACGAAGTCCTCTCAGACCCCAACAAGAGGTCCCTCTACGACCGAGGCGGGGAACGGGCCATGAAGGAGGGTGGTGTGGCTGGCCGAGGCGGCTTTGGGCCCCCAATGGACATCTTTGACTTGTTCTTTGGAGGAGGGGGCCGTGCTCATGGCCCCCGGGTTGAAAGGAGAGGTATGGGAGCCTGGCCAGAGGGTCCTGGAACCACGCATGCGGGCAGGGGGTCTGTGCGAATCTGGGCGTGTGGATCTCTCTTGGGTCCTGGGGCTGGAGCAGGAAAGGAGATCCTGACCCAGAGTTGGAACAGGGGTCCGATTCCCCTGCCACGTCCCAGCCAGCATCTCTCAGAAGGTTATGAGCCTTCAGGAGATGTGGGGAGGGGGCTTGGCCTCGCTGGGAAACTCCCCTGTTCCTGCTTGTGTGCTGCAAGCGAGGCAGGGGTGGGTCGCGAAGCCCAAGGGGGCCTACATCCTCCTCGCGCAGTCAGCCCCAACAAGCCTCATCCTGCCCAAATTCCAGGGGCTCGGTAATTGGAGCCGCCATTCCCCACCGTCCTTCCTCCCGCCCGGAAGCTGCTTTCCCACTTGCAGCAGCCGTTGTCTCCGGGGTTTTTCCTCTTGCAGGCAAAACAGCCGTCCACCTACTGCCCGTGACCCTGGAGGACCTGTACAAGGGAGCCACGCGGAAGCTGTCCCTGCAGAAGAACGTCATCTGCAAGAGCTGCGCGGGTGAGTGGGGCGAGCGGGGCTCTCCTCCTGGGCCCGGGCTGGGTCGGGGGGAGGTTGGTGGGGCCGTGAGCGGGGCGCAGGGCGAGACGGCGTGACTTGGGGAGCAGGTTGAACCTGTGGCAAAACTCCAAAGGCTTGGCCGATACCTGAGTTAACCCATCGGCTGGGTTTGCACAACACGCCGAACGATCGGGCTGGGTGTGTGCAGGAGCAGCACGGCAAGCCACAAAAATCCTCCGGAGCTGGAATTAGCCGAACTGAGCTCTGGCACAGCCACAGCTGCGGGCCTTGGGCTGGACTGGCTCAGCGGGTACCGGGAACCCGGCTGCTGGGCACCGTGAGGGTCTTTGGCGGAACCTTCTGGGTCTGCGGCTCCCTGCTTCTCAGCAATCCGCTGATTCCGGAAGGACGGTGAGGCCAGTGACTGTCTCTGGAGGGCCCCCTTGTTTCTGGAGGCTCGGGGGCCACCAGAAGCCAGGCACCCAAACAGCTAAGGGGGAACAGCCATCCTCAGGCAAGGGAGGATGGGGTCCTGGGCGGGAGAGCTGTGCTTGTGGGGCAGGGTGAGAGACGGGCTTGTCCCTGCGCTGTAGGACCTGCAACCGGGAGAGGAGCAGTGTGGTCTTCTGCCGCTGGCTGAAGAAAATCAAGGGGGGGGAGAGTCTAAAGAGGAGGGAGAGGGGCTGGCGGCGTGTCAAGGGCCCCAACTACGGCCATCCTGGCGGCCTCTGACGGCCTGCCGGGGTCTGTTCTGTCTTCGCAGGCCGTGGCGGCAGGGAGGGCCTCGACATAAGGTGCCCCAAGTGCCACGGCTCCGGCGTGGAGGTCATTGTTCACCAGCTGGGGCCAAACGTGGTCCACCACATCCAGGCCATGTGCTCGCAGTGCCAGGGCCACGGAGAATGGATGCGGCCCCTCGACCGCTGCCTCGCCTGCAACGGCCGGAAGGTCATCCGGGAAAAGAAGATTCTCACCGTGCACCTGGACAAAGGTGAGCCCCGCAGGGCGGGGAAGCTGAATCTTGCTGGCACCGGGGTTCCCCACCCTCGTTGCTCCCTTGCTGCATCCGCCTTTCCTCCCTCCTGGGCTGCGTTCGCACGCCACGATGAGCTGGTTCAGTTACGGCCGCCGCCGCCACCCCGGTTTCCCCTGCAGCATAGATTAGGGTAACCTTGGTTACTTCTAATCCCCTCAGTTGATTTAGTAGATTAACTCACATGGCGGATGAAGCAGGCTCAGCTCCAGCAGAAGAGCATCTCTGGCTGCAGAGCCCTCGATGCTCCCTGAGCTCGGTGGTTTGCTTGCAGACGTTTCATGACCCGGCTAGGTGACACCTTCAGTGCGAGGGAGAGCGGGGCTTGCTCCCTGTCTATGTGCAGAAGCTCGCCCTGCCCGCGTGGGTGGCGGTGTGGTTTGCTCCCTGGTAGTTCCTCAGTTAGGGCATCGTCTTCTGCTCGACTGTTTGTCTGGTGTTCATCCCTGCTTATCTGGGTGTAGGCTGCTGGAGGGGATGTGTTCTGGTCTTTCTGTTTTTTCCTTTGCTTCTTTATTCTCTCTTTTGAACGGTGTGTATATATCGTTTGTGTGT